TTTTTTTTTTTTTTTTTTTTTTTTTTTTTTTTTGAATGGTGGAGTGGCTTTGAGAAGGAAAATGGCAATTACAATTAGCAGTTCAAAAACTTGTGGTGGTAAATGTGAGACAAGGAAAGATTATGGCAGCTGTTTGATCGACTCATCGCTATCACGCAGTTCTCCTTGTTTCACTGCTGCTAGCTCTTCAAGTTGTGACAGTATTCAAAAAATCAACAGGTTAGTATTTAGAAAACGGTAACGTTGCATAGGTGGCTGTTGTCATCCTTATCTTTGTCGGAGGTCAGGCTATTTAACTAAAACATTCTGCAGAAAATTGACACTAGTGCAATTTATGGTGGCCACTCTCAGAGTACCTTCATTTCTATGCATAGAGTCTTCGATAACGTTTCGTTTATCAAAAAATGTAGTTAATTACCGAAGAAAAGCTAATATTTGGGGTTGGGCATGGTGGACTGCCACAGCACCAGAAAGATTTTTGTTGCTAAGATTTACAGTTGTCTGTAAAATAAGGTTGCTGTAGTAGTAAAAATTTTGAAAGTACCTTTTTTTAGAATGAACTGTAGCATCCAGAGTTCTCGTAACGAAGTTGTCCTCAATGGCAAGGTTTGCTTACCAATTTAGATTTTTAGAAATTTTTCTTTTGGCGTCATCATATAATTTTTACATCGTGCTGTACTAATAAAAAAGTTTTTGAAGGAAATAGTTTCTGTTGTTGAAAGCCATTCACCTCATTTTCCCGCAGAAGGAGCCGGATATCTGAATAATCAAGATGGGCCAAGTACATCTTGTGAGATTCCAGATATAAATTGTGAATTGGCTGATGATTTTGCTACTAAATCTAGTGAAGTACATCTCCATCTTTCTTTCTTCGTTTTTTAGTTTTTTAGTAACTGTTTTCTTAACTGTAGCAATTAATTTGCAAGAGTTTCAAAGCCCTGTCAAATACTTCTTATATTTTATTTGTAGTGACGTTAAAGATAAATAGTAATTTTTTTGTGAGGGGAAACTTTAGGAGCCTCCCTCTAAAGGCACGGGAGAAAGTTTTCCTGACTATCCAGTTGTTGTGCCGCGGAGGAAGAATCACAGAAGGCGGCGTTTGCGTTATACAGTACCAGTTAGGAAACTTTCTATAAAACCTTGTCAAAAAACAACCTCTGTTGAGGTTAGTTTGATAATGTGACTGAAATGTACTTTATTGCACTGCACTTTAAGTTAAGAACACCTTATAATCAATTTTCAGAAATTTTCGGGGGTTGAAATCAAATATTCGGTTTTGCTACTTTTTCTCAAAAAATCTTCATTTTCAACATGGTAGCTGCTTTTGGAAGGCAGAGATTTATCTTCTTCTTTTCTGGGTTTTTCTTTTGGGAATTTTTCATTCTCGTTATTTACTCCTCAAATTCACTTTTATTCTATTGCTATAGAAATTTTATTTTGCGTGATACGTCCCTCTAATTAGTTGCCTTGAAGAAAATGTGAGTTGCTTCAAATTTTGTACCACTCCTGTATGTAAGGGATTGTTCTCGTTAAAGCACTCATCTTTTCATCGACCAAACTTTATTAACACTGTGATAATGGGTGGCTATGAAATGGACACGTGGTTTTGGTCGCCATATCCCAATGAGTGTGTAACTTCTGGTACAATTTATATCTGTGAAAAATGCCTCGAATTGAAGAGGAGCAAGGACACGCTTCAAAGTCACAACGTAATCTATTTTACTCGGATTCATTTTGAGATTTTTATCCATTTCTTCAAACTTGATAGATTTGAACCTGTAAGTCTTCCAGTTTTTTGTTGTGCTTCCCAGAGTAAATTTCTAGGTTGCTCTAGAAGTATTAAAACTAAGTGTTGTTGCCTCCAGTCATTCAGAGCATTTAGGTGCGTTGTAATGCTATTTATCCGCCTGGTGATGAGATATTTCGCCAAGCCGACATCTCTGTGTTCGAAGTTCGCTTTTCTGTTTATTTGTTTGTTTAACGTATTTAAGATTGAGATTTCCACATTGTTTTTTACTGTTTGTGTCGTCTGGAGTTTTAAATTAAGCTAGTGCTTTGAGGTAGCGTTTTTCACCTTTCAGTTATTCAGGTTGACGGTGAAAAGGCTAAAATATATTGTCAGCATCTATGTATGCTTGGAAAGCTCTTCATCGACCATAAGGCGTTGTTTTATGATGTAGAACCGTTTCTCTTTTACGTTGCTACATTGCACGATACTTCCGGTTTTCATTTAGTCGGCTATTTCAGTAAGGTACTTTATAAGTCTTGCAACTTTGTGAGCTTCTCATTATTTTCATTTCTAGTCATAATATCCATGCTCTTTAGCAAAAGCATAGTGAGGAGAAGCACAATTTGTCTTGTATCGTTACGCTTCCGTGTTACCAGGAAAGGGGATTTGGTCGTTTTCTGATTGACTTTAGTTAGTTCCTCCATTTGCCTAACAGTTTTTACCTCTTGATATTTTTTTGTGTAAGACTAACTTTTTGTTTCAACATTTAACATCTGTCGCTATAAATTAAAGTTAAGCATTGGTATTAGGTTTTCTTTTGACTCGAAGAGAGAATATATTGGGCAGTGCGGAAAAGCCGCTGTCTGAATTAGGACTGATAGCATACCGGAGTTACTGGCGAACAGCGATTTTAGAGTTTCTGTATTTGAAAAAGGAACGGGATGGAGACTTTCGTCATCTCTCCGTAGATGGTAAGCAGTGGTATTTCTTTACAGGTTGGCGCCTGTTTTTCTTGTGTTAGTTTAAATATTTATTTTTCAGAAATTGCTAAAGCAACGGGTATTGAACATGAAGACGTGCTTCAAACATTGAATAGACTTGAAATGCTTTCCTTTGACGATGATTCGTATTTTTTTGATTTCATTATTTTTAATAGAATTAATATAATTTTTTTCAAAGGTTTAGTAAAGAGAATTAGACATTGATGTGACTTTTTTTGGTTTAGTTTGCATAGGATCTCTTTTCCTTTTTTTTCAGGTTGCTGCTTGAAATAAATTTCACGGCAGTCAGGTCTCATTGGGAAAAGGCTAAAAGTGATCCTAGGCGTATTTGGATTGACGAGAAGAATTTGAAGGTGAGGTATATTTACACCCTAAGTGGATTTCTGTGAAGATTATTTTGAACTTTCTTTGCAGTCTACATTAAAAGCATTTTTAATGACTTGTAGTACAAAATTGCAGCGAAAGGTGGTAAATTTAAATTTTTATAAAGAAATTCGGGAGGGGAAGTTAAACGAATTGCTTTTTATGGCTCCTGTATATTTGTTGTCCATTTAGTGGAAACCGAAATTGCGCTGAATATTGCGGAAGCAGTTCGTCTAGTCCAAATAATTTCATTGTTCTCTAGATCTTTCATTTTTTTATTAGGTTATTTGACGCTAAAGATTTGTCGGATCTCATCTGCGGATGATCATCTTTGTTTCATAAACAAGGTTTTTTGCCAGAGTTGTATTGAATTTTCTTCTTTTTTTGCTATTTATTGTCTTAGTCTTTCTGTTGATAGTGTTAGATTCTGCTACGTAAAGGGTTCTTATTATATAACATAATAGGCCAACAGATTTCAACACGTCTTTCATTTGTTTACAAATTCTTTGGTTTTTGAAATATTTTTCTTCTTTGTAGTCGGGTATTGAAGCAGCATATCATTTCATGGATGCTAACTCGTCCGTCTGATTGTTTAAGTTCATGTTGGGTCGTTTCGTCGTTTTTTGTTACGTATTATGTTCTTAAGAGTGTAAAAGATGTTCGACAAGAAATTAAAGATGTTTGAAGTAATTTCTCAGATGGATGTACAGGTATTTGTCGGAAAAAACCGTTATTATCGACTTGAATAATTGCGA